GCTCGGACTCCCCGGCAGAGAGTCGCCGGCGCCGCCGCCGTTCGGGAGGCCGTTGAAAGCGGCCGCTGCGGGCCCCAGGGCGGGTTCGGGCTCGGCGGCCGCCGCGTCGCCCGTCAAGCTCAGGCTCTCCCCGCTGAGCTCGGCCACCACCCGGACCCAGCGCTCCCTCAGGAGCAGCTCCACCAGCCCCGCTTTGGTGGCCCGCGTCCACACCGCCATGGCCGGCCCCGCTCCCGCCGCCGCAGTTGCCGCAGATACCCTCATTCCAGTCAGGCAGCCTCGGCGCTTCCCCCTTCCCGCCCGAGGGGGCGGGCCCGGCCCCTCCCCCGCGGTGATTCATTATTCATGAGGGGCCACGCCCATCTTCCGGCGCGGGGGGCGGGGAGAGGGCGGTGCAGCCGCTTCCGGAGGCTAAGAAGTTGTCCGGTCCCTTGCAGTTATCCGGACGTGGACGTCCAGATCGCGGTGGAACTCCATCTCACACTCTCCTCCGTTGATTCCCCACGGTCCCTCAAACTCCTGACCTCTACCGTGCAACTCACGGGAACTGCCCGGGCACGGAAAGTAAAATCAGTTAGGAGAAGCACGTTACAAGCCTGCAAGACTGGGTGGCAGGTTCATTCTTGCATTGATTGGTTCATTCTGTATGTACTGAGCGCTCAGCCTTGTGCTGGGTCGGGCTCCTTTTGAGGCCTTGGAGCCAAGCTGAATATAATGTACCACAGCTGAAAGCCTGCGGTCTAATGAGGGAGGAAAACTAACTAGGTGTGATACTACGTGGTTAAGTGACATGTAGAAAATGTCCCTAGAGCAGAATAAAAGAAACATTTGCTTTGGCCTAGGGTCAGCTTCACAGAGATGACATTGGAGGGTGAACATCTCAAGCAGAGGGAACAGCATAAGCAAAGGTCCAGAGGCATGAATCCAATCCTTGTCACTCTGCTTTGTAATCACCTGTTTACTTACCTGTAATTTGAGAGGGGACCATGTCTTCTTAAGCCCTGCAACCACAATAGGCAGGCCTCAAAAATGTTTGCAGAACGATGGTATATTAGTCAGGGTTCTCCAGAAAAAACAGACTGGTAGAATATATATAGATATTTACAGCTGGACAGTTAACAAAGTTGGTTAGGTCACTGCCTTATAACGCCAAGGTGACAGATTCAGATCCCTTTAGCAGATAGCCACCATAATAAAAAAAAAATTAAACAGATATATTGTGAGGGATTGGCCATGAGATTATGGAGGCTAAGTCCCATCATTTGCCATCTGCAAGCTGGAGCCCCAGGAAAGTTGGTGGTGTACTTCCAATCCAAGCCCAAAGACCTGAGAACCAGAGGAACCCAATAATGTAAGTCTGAGACTGAAGGCCCAAGAAGGGGACAGGGGTGGAGCAATGGTATGAGTCCCAGTGCCAGTCCCAAGGCCTGAGCACCAAAGTCTGAGGGCAGGAAAAGATGGATGTCTCAGCTCAAGCAAAGAGAGTGAATTCACCCTTCCTCTGCCATTTTGTTCTGTTCAGGCCCTCACCTGATTGGATGATGCCAGCCCAATTGAATGGTGAGGGAGATCTTTACTCAGTCTACCATTCAAATGCTAATCCCTTCCTGAAACACCCACAGACACACCCAGAAATAATGTTTTACCAGCTACCTGGGCATTCCTTAGCCTAGTCAAGTTGACACACAAAATTAACCATCACAGACGGTTACATAGGAAGACGCCAGAATTCCTGTGTGAACAGAGCATGCTGTCAGTGGAAGTAGCAGAATATAAGTGGGAAAACCTTCATGTAATCAAATATCGAAGAGTTTAGATTTGACTTTGTAGATCTTTCTTAGCCTGGAGACCATGGCCTTTTGAACAGGCAAGTGTAGGAGGGCATCCCCAGAAAGTGTATGAAAAATTTGATATCTGAGGTATTTTTTGAAGCCTGTGACTTTTATCCAATTTGCAAAGAGGTGCCATGACCAAAGGCCATGAGCCACTGCTATATACACACTGCAGAGGCTGCACTGGCTTTAATCCAAAGATGTGAGTGATGCAGTCCACCTGCTTCTAGCTTCGTGGGCTGGAAGAGCTGAGGAGACTGAGGACCAGAGAGCCAAAGACTCTGGCCCCAAGTCCACAGTGAGGAAGCAGAGACAACTCAGATCTGCCAGCCTCCTGGTCCACTGCTGTCCTCAGATCTCAACGAGGGTCCAGAAACCACACTGCTGAGAAAGCAAGCTCTCAGCAAAATCATGAGGTCAAGGTGTCCTCTAACTTTCCTTCAGCAGTAAAAGGGAAATCCCCCTCTTTTCATTTGGGTAAGGACAGGGGGCAAGCAGAAGTGTGCACCAATTCCTGTAAAAGGGGCTGTACACAGTTCTTGCTTGCTCATCAAGTACACGTTGAGGCTCGTAAGCCTCAGCTATGTATCATTCAATGAATGCACATTCATATGCAGGCAGAAACTTCCGAAGAGCCTCTTAGACCAGGAGTTAAAACAATAAAAATAGAAGCGGGGAAGCATCCAGAACCCAAATGAAGAAAGAATTCAAAATGAGAAAAGTATCTTAGCAAAAAAATTATTACAGCAGAATTCTCTTTGCAATTAGTGGGGCAGGATTTTCCAAGCTGCAAATGTCAGCAAAAGCTCAACCCTCCAGCCCTCTCCTAAATTAACTGCAGTGAGGCCAGCTCACTGTTCCGGCAGGTCCCAATGTGCCCAAGTGCACCTGCAGTCACAGACATTACTGGCTTTGCTCCCAATGAGGCATGAACCCCCAGAGGCCTGAGTTATGTGAAATTTCTGCTTATTAGAGAGCATTTGGCAGCTGATTCCTTACAGTATGAGCACTATTTTTTAACACTTTTGCATATGTAATCACCCAAGGGTTGGACACTTGAGGACACCTTTATTAGCAAAAGGGATGTGCTGGAAATTCATTCCAAAAGTAACAAGACCTTTTCATCAATTTAGTTGGAGGAAGTCAGAGATCTTCCAACTAATAGTAAGTGAGGGCACTTACATAAGATAGCAAGTTACATAACAAATTAGTTAACCTTGAGAGTAGAGAAGGTAATGGGGTGTTGGGAAAATATAGAAAAACAGTCAGGGCCCCTCAGATGTTCAGAATCTTGCCAAGCATCTGATGTAAATATTCACATGCTCCCAGGTGTTCCTTGTTATTGTCTAGTGTAATTGCGCATGTGCACCCAGGTGTTTTGGGTTATGGACTTAAGTATACAGGACTAAGGACTCTGACATAGGGAGCTTCTCCGCATGCTCTGGGAAGCCATTAGGGCGGCTGTTCCTACCTCTGAATAAAGCCTATTAATTTTTTTACCTACGGCTCTCAGGACCTTTTCCCATTGCCTAGCTCGTAGACCTGCGTGTGAAGGGTTTGTGAACCAGTCTGTACACAGGCTCGAGGGGTCTGTGAGCCCTAGCCCTGGCTTTACATGGGGATTGGTATTTGAAATACTTGGGAGTTTTTCCTTAAAAAATTCTTTTGAAATCTATCCATAAAAAAATTCCAAACTATCAAATTGTATTTACAAGACCCTTCATCAGATTCCAGATGAACTTTTTAATGTTCTTTCATCACTACTTTAAGATCAGCCAAACTCAGTGTCTCCCACTAATGCCTCGCACGTTCCCACCTGAGTCCTTCCCTCTAAACATCTCCTGCCCTCTTCAACCACCTAGCAAGATCTCATTCCAGCTTTCCCTGACTCCCAGTTCTCTGGGATTTTTCCTTTGAACAGTTGAGTTCTAGGGCCGGCCCGTGGCTCACTTGGGAGAGTGTGGTGCTGATAACACCAAGGCCACGGGTTCGGATCCCTATATAGGAATGGCCGGTTGGCTCACTTGGGAGAGCGTGATGCTGACAACACCAAGTCAAGGGTTAAGATCCCCTTACTGGTCATCTTTTTTTAAAAAAACAAACAATTGAGTTCTATGCCTACCTGTTTTGCCCAAGTACATTATAAACTATGGGGGGGCAGGGGCCACCCATCAAATTATTTTTATTTCCCACTATTTCAAAAATATTGCACTGCAGAGAAGGAACTCATTAAACGTAATGGAAACTCAGTGCCTCCTGCACTGTAGTCTTTTCGAATAATCCTTCTGAAGGTTATTGGTTCCTTGCAGAGTGAAAATTACCATCTAGGAAATCTCACATAGTCAATGGAAATGTAATTAGTGTAAGTAATGAAATCTGAAATAAAGAATACACATCTGTACCCACGGTTTCTTAAGGACAGCAAAACAAGCTTAGATAATTCTTTGAACAGGCACGTTATTTCATCTACCTCTAAAAAAAAGGAAATAGCTGAGATAATTCCTAATATCCTTTTATTCCTGTCACCTATCAATATCTATTATCTGTTCATACTTTTATCTTACTATTTCTCAGAACAGGCAGAATCATTGCTACTTTAAAATGAGGGAATTAAATTAGTTCTCTTGGTTCTACAATTTCATCTTTTTTTTTTTTTTTTTTGTCTTTTTTGTGACCGGTAAGGGGATCGCAACCCTTGGTGTGGTGTCGCCCGCACCGCGCTCAGCCAGTGAGCGCACCGGCAAGTCCTATACGGGATCCAAACCCGCGGCGGGAGCGTCGCTTTGCTCCCAGCTCTGCACTCTCCCGAGTGCACCACGGGCTCGGCCCTACAATTTCATCTTATAATTGTACAACTCAGGCTCTGAGTCTATGCTCTCAAAACCCAATCGTCTTTTTTTTTTTTCCCGTCTCCTTCATAGTAGATGCATAGTATAGCACGATAATTAGGAACACAGCTATATGACTATGGCCAAGGGACTGAAATCATGAGGCCTCAGTTTCTTTTTCAGAAATATTCAGATACGTTCTGCTTCTTAGAGTGGTTTGAGATTTGAGCAGGATGATGTATGCAAAGCATTTAGGAGCACTGTACCTGTCACACAGCAAGAGGTCCATAAAAAGTACCCACTGTTGCTATTATTACCATTTGACCTTCAGAGCAGCAACAATAAAACCTTTGGTAGAAACTCTCCAACTGAGAGTCTATACTTTATCTAGGAATGCGTCTGCCATAATACCATTTGATTCCAGGCTTAAAGGGCAAATAGCCAAATTAATTTTGGTGACAAACAGATCTTATATAAAGCTACACTTCGGCTGAAAGGGAGTATATATTGCCAAGAGTCCGTCAAAGAAAAGAATTAGTTGATCTGGGGCTGGATCCAAGGTTTGAGTGTTGTGTAATTTCATAAGGAAGGAGGGCTCCAGGCA